TTTTAATCTTGCTTTCATTCAAATTCCTTACATGTAACTCCAACTGCTTTAAAAGTATACAATATTTTACATAAAATATTTTACTGTAAAATAAAGAGCAGCTCAGAACTGAAAGTGTTCTCTTTTATTACAAAAGAGCTTCACTCGACTGTTTCCTGTCTCATATTTCCTGTCTCTAGGTCTTGCCCTGCTTGGCAAAGACAAGGGAAGGCCTTGCGGTGCTCCAGCCTACATATGAAAACACACATGTATAATTGATCGTGTGGCTCTGTGTGCACATGAGCATTTTTGAAAGGTCGAGCCGAAGGACTGTTCAAACAGGTTAAAGCATCAGTTCAGTGCAGGCATCTGGTGCTTCCAAATTAAAATGCAGAACAGGGAGCTCTTTTTATTTGTCCTCTTCTGCCTGCAGGAGGAAATACCAGGTTGTAACGGAGTGTATGTGCTTCAGTAATTGGCTGTGTGCAGCAGGTGAGAGAAAGTGCGAGTCAGCAATGTTTGAGGGAGTCATGAGAGGTTCGGGTACTTTTTCACTGCCTGTATTATCTTCTCAGGTGGCCGGCTTACTCACTCGCTGTGGCTGCATAGATAATGACCAGTAACTACTACATATCTCACCTGGAATGATCCCTAGGTGCCCGTGCTTTTGGTCTCCCACAACAATTTTACTGCGTTTGCTGTGCTGTTACACTGCAAAATACACAGAGACACTGGGAATCCTACAAACGAGGCTCATCTCATGCACCACCTTCCTCAGATAACATTAGCGGAGCAAACATTCACTAAATCGGCTCAAACAAAAAAAACGTACAACACACTTATCTGGAAAAAGCGACCTTCTAATTCAGAGTAAACTAACGGCTCAGTCACGCGAGTACCAGTGGGAGAGCAGCCTCCCTCCACCTACACAAAATAAATAGATACATAAATAAAATAGAAATGATATCTGCCTGATTTCTTCACATCCTCCAACCAACTGCAACCTGAGGTGACCTCGTGTTTGTCCCAAGCTTGAGGGTGCTGCACACTTATGGCCCCTTTTGATTAAGTCAGTTCGATTCCATCTTATTTACATGGTGGCAAATCAGAACAACAGTTGCCTCAAGGCACTTTATAGTGTAAGGTAAAGATCAACCCCCCTTGGGGAAAAAATTTGGCAAAACTGGGAAGGAAAAACTGCCTTTCAACAGGAAGAAACCTCTGGCAGAACCAGGCTGGTGAGAGACGGGACAGAAATAAATAAAAAAAAAGGCAATTACGAGGAGATTGCACGAATAATGGTGTCTGACTTGGACAGAATGCAATCAGTCTCAGAGACAGAGCTGAAGATTTTCAACACTTACTGTCTAAATTGTAAGATGCATAGATTGTCAACATGTTGCCATCAGTCCATAGCAGGGGTAGGCAACTCCAGGCCTCGAGTGCCGGTGTCCTGCAGGTTTTAGATGAGTCCATGATCCATCACAGCTGATTTAAAGGGCTAAATGACTCCTCAGCATTTCTTGAAGTTCTCCAGAGGCCTGGTAATGAACTAATCATTTGATTCAGGTGTGTTGACCCAGGGTGCGATCTGAAACCTGCAGGACACCGGCACTCGAGGCCTGGAGTTGCCTACCCCCGGTCTATAGGAATCACCTCAAGCTAGCTGATGTTACTCTGCTTATATTCCCATAGAACAGGAAGGTTAATCATCATATTGGAAAATGTTAAAAATCCCAATAATATCATATTGTGTGGTGTCTGGTTATTCCACCTCTTGTAAATACAGAAATCACCTGTTAGCCAACAGCTCTCCAAACGGTCCTGTAATGATCAGTCCTGGAGCACCACTGCTCATGTGAATACATCAGGGCATTTTTATATCCAGCGGTCAGTATTAAGTGCTTCGCTTAGCAGCAGTACGTAATATTTAAACAAAACAAACAACAACAAAAATAAATAAACAAATAAAATAACTGTGAAAGAACTAAATGTAGCAACACAGCTGGTAAGTTGGCAATGACGAGAAGAACTCGCGTTGCCAACTTATTCACTGTTCAGTGACATCAGTGAAGGAGACGGAGCCAGGCAGACCAGCCGAGACGGTTCGTGTGAATCCCAGACTTAAAATCACGAAAAGTCAAATATTTTATACGTGGAAAACACAACAGTGGCAGAACTGTGTCACCGCACAATATTTATCCATCTTGCACAGCACCTGTCCAGCACTCAGACAGACTTTCTGTCTTCAGCTGCTCCAGAGATACTGCAAAGCCTTACCAGGCACGTAATAACATCTGTAGGTTTGTGTG